ACAAAATGGCCGGTTTCTTGACGGACTCATCAGTTCGCCAGCAAAGCCTCAGTTTTTTTCACAGTCGCTCAACATGACACAACAATTCTCTATTGTGGTTGGCTGGAAGATGGATTAACTTTACCTGGACAATAATAGGGAAACACATGTTGCAGGGGTTTGTAGTTTTTATTCAAATCAAGTTTCTTTATATAGCATGTTTAAAACAACCAGAGTTGACCAAAGTGCTGTGCAAGTTAAAGTGCACAGAACATCAACAGGAAATAAGGACATTGAAATAGTAGTAAAAAGGCATAATAACACCAATAAATGATATATAAGGCAATATCAATAGTGTGCACAAATGAAAAAAAATTAGAAAAATTGGTAAGAGCATGTAAAACAAAAGATTATAAAATACTAAAACTAACTAAGAGTACCAGTTAATGCCTCAGCAACAGGAGCTACTGGTGGTTTTTGTACCACTGCGACAACCAAAAAAAGATAAATAAGTTCTCATTGAGAACTTTCTTCTGAGACTTTCTGGGCACGTCCAACTCGTAGGAGACCCTGGGGTAGCTGGAGAGATTATATAGCTCATCTGGCTTATAAATGCTTCAGGATCCAGCAGGAGGAGCTGGAAAATGGTGCTGGGAAGACATACGCCTGGACTACCTTGCTTAGCCAGCAGCCACATAACTTTCACACTTTATAATGAATCGCAGCTATGCAAAGTTATCAGGACACCCTGTTAATTTAGCATCAGGACATTCAATTTAAACGGATAAATAATGTACTTTACTTACTTTTGGACAATGCATCATAAGCTAGAGAAATGTCTTTTGCAGTAACATCTACAGCAGTAGCAGTGTTTCTATTGATAGTATGGTTGTGGCAACGGCAGTAGTATCAGAGATTTAATTATTATTATTCAATTAAGTATGAGCAGTATTGTCTTTGTTCTTCTGTTTCCTGTGATTATCACTGTCGTTTTGGTTATTATCAGTACTTATTACTGTCTCTTCATCAGCTTTCTGCAGACCTCCTTGCATTTTTCCTGTGTCCTCTGAGGGGAAATTAAAAAAGACAGAGGCTCTCTGCGTGTTTGAAGGCTGTGAACGAGGCCACGGCTTCGCTTGCCCTGCTGCTTTACAATGTCAACTACATCTGAATACAAAGCAGCTGCAGGAGGGATTTCTGTTCCCGACATTTTCTGCTCCAGTCAGACAGAAAAAAAACAGAGAAATGAGTCAGTGTTACAGTACAGCCTGAGGCCACTTCACCTCTAATATACACAAAGAAAGAAAGAACATCTGAAACTGGCTTAATTGATCCATGGAGCCCATTTAGTTCTGTGAGCACTTTGAAGGAGATGAAACTCAACAACTTAATGAACACAGAAGACTGGTTCAGCTGTTTTGTTAGGAGCAGGTGGAAAGTGGACTCCAACTAATATTAAACAATGTTGGTCTGATGTCAGCCATTAACAGAAATATAAATCTTAGTGGACGCAGGTGAATGGATTTCACTTTACTCTAATACTTGAATAAATCCAGTTGGCCTGATTTTAATTCAGTCAAAAGAAAAGGTTGGATTTTACAATCATCAGTTAAAGATATAGAGAATATAGCAGCACTACTAGTAGCACTAGTTTTCACATCAGTTACAATAGTAGTAACAGCAATAATATGTGCAGGAATAGTATTTGTATCTTGTATCTTGTAGCAGTGGTAGCAATAGCACTACTAGCAGCTGCGAGAGCAGAAGCATTGATCGATGTTATAGCAGCGGTAATACGAGAAGGAACAGCAGCACTAATAGCAGTAGCAGCAGCAGAAATAGAGATATTAGCAGCAGCAGTAGTTATAACAGTAGTAGTAGCATCAATATAGGTCTTAACAGCAGTAATAACAGTAATGGTAGCAGTGTTGTAATTATAGCAGTAAATGTTGCAGTAATATAATTTTTTACAGTGATATTATTAAAACAGTCTAATGAAAAACATTCAAGCAAGGTTTTAGTAGTCATTGATGATGTTGTGGTGGAGAAGGAGTATCTCCCTTCCCCTAGAGACTACAGGTAGTGGTGGTGTCATCCTCCTTCATGGATGGTTTGCCTCTTTGTGTCTCTGTGGGAGCTGTTCCAACATGAATTTAACTTCTGCATCGTTTCCATGGAGACCTCACATCCAACTGTGACCTGTCAAAGTAGCTAATTAGTTAATGAAGCGCACGGTGACGCCCGACCAGAGAGAGAGAGAGAGACAGAGTATGGAGGAATTTGGCCGACACACACACATTTTTTCAATTTGTCCCTTTCTTTTTCTCTCCTTCCATCCTTCAGCGTCTCTTCTCCTCTCCCTCCTCCCGCTCAGTAATCAGTTCTGCTGTAATCAATTAGCAGGATGAGGAGAAGCAGAGGGAACAGGTGCAGCTAAATGTTAATTAATTCCTCTGTGGCCGTCGTCACAGTAACACTGGCTGAATATTTAAACTGCTCGTTGGCCTGATGACTTACACCACAGCTGATGGAGGGATACACACACCATCACTCTGAGTGTTTGTGTGTGTGTGTGTGTGTGTGTGTGTGTGCTAATATAACACCAACAACAGATGTGTGAATGTGTGTGATACAATCTGTACATGTGTAAGTGGCCGTCTGGTACTGAGCTGTGTGTGTTTTGTATAAAATGACAATCCACTTCAGTTCACACGGTTACTGGAAATTTCACCACAGCAACAGCAAATACAGGTTTTGCTGGCAGGTGTCTGATACCACACCTACTGTGATACACAGAGATGGATACATTCACTGGTTCTCACCAACAGTGTGAATCCTTGAGGTCTAATAGTGTTAGATACATTTTCGTCCTCATAAAACTTTGGCAAAGCTGATTTTTAGACAAATTTGAAACCTTTTTGAAACAATTTGTTAACATTCATGCTTTATAGGTGCCTTCCTCGTCTTTGCCTTGGTTGGAACATTGCTACATTCCTTGGTGCATTACTGTAATAGAATAATGTGAAACCATTGTCAAGAATATATATCACATGCTAGCATGCGTGGGTGTCGTAGAAACATATATGACATATACTAACTAACCAGTCTTAAAGCAACACAACAGCTCCATGCTATTATTAATAGGGGTCAAAACAACATTTTTGGGCTCATAGAATTATTCTCTCTCTGACTAAGTTGCTATGGAGCACAAATATGGCTCTAATATATAGTAGAAATTAGACTGACTAACATTATTTTAATCAGATTATTTTATCAGATAGACTACCAAATCCACTTTATCCTTTCCTGTACGTATCCTGTAGTTAGATATGCTATGAGCTAGGCTAATCTATGTTGAAAGATAGAGTGACATTTATAGTCACATATCTAATGTTAGCAACAGGCTAGCATACTAGCTAGATGATCTACATCAATTGTTAGCTAGCTAGTTACATCTGCTAAAAAAAGCTAAAAACCTTGATTACATAAATTGTTAGGTTGCTAGCAAATGGTTTGTTAACATTAGCTAACTTAAGATGTGACTATATATTTTGCTTTTAACTTTTAACCGTCTTCAAAATGTGGTCTTAAAAATGTCTTTTCAACATAGACGAGCACACAGCATATTTAGGTACAGGAAAGGAGACACAGTTGCCCAATTGTTATTGGAATGAATGGTCAATTGTTAGCATTAGCAGCAGTAGTAGAAGTAGCCTAGTAGAAAAGAATATACGCAACTAGACGAAGAAGCTGTCAAAGAGATAATATATGATGAGACAAAAAAGAAAAAGAGGTAGAGAGAGGTGGATACAGTAGAGAGAGATGAATCAAATCTTCTTATCCCTTTTTAATTCATTAAACTTAATTTATTAATTTTGAGCCCACCTAACATACACGCACACACACACAGGGTCATACTGAGTATATCAGCAGAATGGTTGATGGCAGGTTCCTCACAGAGCAGAGCACACTGGGGGCCGAGTAAACATCTGGTGTGTGTGTGTGTGTGTGTGTGTGTGTGTGTGTGTGTGTCAGAGGTGGGTTGTTAACATGCAAATAAAGCAATTAAAATTCACACACTCAAACACACACACCCACTCATACATGTATAGAATATATACGTGTACACACAAACACGCAGTGAAATTCAAGCTGCTGCAGAAAAACACGGACAGCAGCCTGACTTCACACTCATCTGAACAGAACAGAAACACAACACAACTCGATGGTCCACTCGCCGACTGCTAGTCAGATTTATAGACTGCTTTCACACCTCGCTGTGATAGGAACAGAGACATGCTCAAACAAAACACTGCATTCATCTCTTGTGTTAAAGGTTGTTGTCTTATCATTTGATAACTGCATTTCTGTCATGATTTTATAGAGAGCTTTAAAAAAAACTGTTTATAATTTGAAATCCTTAGAGATCATACGCACGGTCATGGTATCATTGTAAAGATAATACTCTGTTTCAGTTGGTTTGTTTTTATTACTTCAGGATATATTACAGTTAAATTGGTGAGGTTCAAGCACAGAAATAATAAATTATTTCTTGATTTTTTTGTATCTTTTTAATTTTGTATTTTAAATTAAGTCATAAGTCAATAGACTGTTGTGACTTGAGAGCGCAATACCCAGCATCCCTAGCAGATGGCCACGGCGCATTACCCAACTAATTCAAAGCAACCTTAAAAATATTTTCTAAATATTTTACTGAAAATATTCTTTACTGAAAATATTCAAAAATAGTCCATATAAAATGACAACAAAGAAACACAAAACAACACCCAAAATGCCCACAAAGAGACACAAAACTGTTACAAAGAGATGCAAAATGACTGCAAAGAGACGAGAAACGACCACAACAACGGCTGCACTTGTTGTTGTCTTAGGAGGGTGGGGGGCTTTTACTTACCCGTGCCTGAGGGCCCATTGTCTCATTATCTGTCCATGTCCTCAGTCCTCAGTCTTGCAGCTTAATTTATTGACTTACTGTTTTTTCTGTTGTTATTTTCTTGCAGAGCATCAAGGTGTCATGGCAGCCACCACCACGTAGCGCCCAGAACGGCATCATCACAGCCTACAAGATCAAATACAGGAAGACTGGTCGCCGTGGAGACCAAGAGGCCATAGAACCCAACAACTTCTGGTACCTGTTCACAGGTGAGGCTCTGTGGGTTGTACTTGTGTTTGAAAGATATACACAGAAGGGTTGGCCGATTGGACAAATATATTGTACAGGTTATCAGTTGTTCTGTACTGTTATTGTATGTATTGACTATTATGAAAAATCCATAAAGTTAGTTAATTCTAGTAGTATTTAATAGTTGTACAACAATTGAACTCTATGGCACAGAGGAATGAGATATATTTTACATGGGATCTGGAAAATTATGAATATATTGGATATCACAAGACTTATCCTTTAACATTTGCCCTCATCTTCTCTTCCAAACACATTTGATAAGACTCTTGTCTTGTTTGGACCAAACTACAAAACAAGGATTCTAAAAACCAGACTGTAGTTTCCATATGTATTCCATATGGGTTTAAGGGAAACAGACAAATGTTTTCACCGAACATCACCTAAGGCTGACAAACATTCAATAGACATTCAATAGAGAAAAGAGGAGATTTAAATCCTCAAGGTGCTTGTGTGTGGGAGGGGGGCTGGGGTTACACAGTGGACTGGTCTGCTGCCTGTGTTTTTTGCGTGTATCTTTATGTGTCCGTGTGTGTTATGTTTTTCCTTCTGTGAAAAGAAATCTACATTTGCATGATTTTACATTTGTGTGTGTGTGTCTGCATTCACACTGCCACAAGCTATTATTTCAATTTGACGTGTGCAGGATTTGAATGAAACTGATCTTCCTTTTCATTATTTTCCACTGATGGTTATCTTCATCTGTTTGTCTGCAAAGGATTTCATTCCCCAGTGGCAGGTGTTTATGTGTGTGTTGAATCTGATCTGCCCGCTGCAAGCCCGGCTGTCACCAATAATCACTTCTTTTTACTGTCTGAGAATAAAAACTGCATTTCACTAAATAAAATAAAACATTGCAGCTTCACCGAGGAGATTAACGCATGACACACTAAACCATCCAATTAGCAATTTTCGGATTCTGTTTCCTGAACAGAGCAGTGAAAAAGGAAGAGCTGCTGGTTCATTAACTATTGAAACCCACTGTACATTCCCAGGAATAGTCCAGAGTCAAGCCCCAAGTCACAAACAACTAGTACCAAGTCCAGTTTCAAGTCAAGATGATCAATTCTCAAGTGTAGTCCCAAGAGTAGTCCTAAATCAAGACCAAATCATTGTGTTCCCTTCACCGACTTTATTGCCTTTTTTTTTTTGTTTAAAAGCAACATGTTTTGCATGTTCCTGCCAGTTTTTGGCCTCAGATACGATGCCCCTCCGTCAGAGGAGCGAATCACAACTTCATCGTTACAGTGTTAGACAAAGCCCATCGTCAATTACTGAATTCATCCCAAACATCCCTAACAAGATTCAGAAGTTTAAATCTGTTAACTTTCAGATTCTGAAAGTTAACAGATTTAAACT